TGTCTTATACCTATCCAGCCAAATCTCTGTCGTAGGTGACTCAATGTCTTCTTAACTCCGAGATGTCCTCCTGTTAAAGTATCATGGGATTGACGCAGCACAACTTCCCGTAACTTTTTCGGTATAACCGTTTGCCATGTCGTCACTTTCCCATCTGCATTTTCCCATCTCCGGAGAAGAATACCATCTTCAAGCCTCAACTGGTCCCATTGTGCCCAATAGTTCTTTGTCACAGGGCTGAGACTAAACACCTTCTCCCAAGCAGAGCACAAAACACTTGCTTTTAGGAAATCAATTATTGGCTTCAAATCTTGGTCTTTCTCCTGTTCTGCCTCGATATCTATATTTGGTTCCACTTCACCATCAACAACTCTTTCAGTCTGCTTGACTTCAGCTTGATGGCACCTGGTAAGTTCAACGTCTCTTTTGCAGCAATGTTTGCAGTCATTTTTGCAGGGTCTTCGGCTCAGTCCATCAGCATTACCATGGAATTTTCTTTCTCTATATTCAATATTATAATTATACTGGTCTATTTTCCGATCCAACGTGCTAGTTGTCCCTCTGGGTTCTTTAATGTTCTTAACCAGCGTAACACAGCATGGTCTGTCCTGATGGTAAACCTTGCACCATAGAGGTAAGGATGGAAATATGTCAGACTCTTTTACTATAGCAAGGAGTTCCCTCCGTGTTACACAGTAGTTCCTTTCAGGTCTACTCAAAACACTACTGACGTAGGCCACTACATGTTCGTTTTCGCCCACTTTCTGAGACAACACTCCTCCAATTCCGACATTACTAGCATAACAATCCAGTATGTATGGCAGTGAGGGATCTGGAATCTTTAAAAGTGGAGGCCAATTTTTCCTTCAACATCTTGAAAGAATGCTGGCAAGAAACTGTCCATTTATACTTCTGGCCTTTTTTTAGTCAAATCATGTAGTGGAGCAGCTATAGTTGCAAAGTCCTTCACAAACTTTCGGTAATAGGTATAGAGTCCCAAGAAACTTCTTAACTCTCCCACATTGTCTGGTGTTGGCCAGTCATGCAATGCTTTTACCTTATCAGGATCAGTTTGCACACCATTCTCACTTATAATGTGGCCTAAGTAAAGCACCTCTTTCTAGAACAAATGACATTTCTTGGGATGGAGTTTGAGGTTTGCTGCTTTCAAACGCTTGAATACTCCCTCCAGCCGGGACATTTCCTCGTTAAAAGTTGTTGCAAATACGATGACATCGTCCAGTTACACCAGGGCTATCCACCATTGTAGGCCTTCCAAGACTAATTCCACCAGCCTCTCAAATGTTGCTGGAGCAT